TTTTCATTTTCCGTATTTTCACTGTAAAAATTTATTTTTCACTGTAAAAATTTATTTTTCACTGCAGTGAAACATATTTTCCGTATTTTCACTGGTGTCTTTGCCGGACTACTTTCTTTTAAATTCTGCAAGTACACAAAATTTAAGGGAAAGTCTTTCAAATTTTAATGTCAAAAAAGAGAAATATATATAATAAACAGAAAATTCAAGTATTTTCTACAAAAACAGAATTTATTTTCATCTTGTGGTATGAAAATTATCATATTTCACTCATGGCTACCGCCACTCATGAAATATTTATTTTCATACCACTCTATGAAAATAAATCGTGTATTTATAGAAAAAACTTGAATATCCTCTATATATCTCAGAAAACACTAAAACATAATATAGCTAAAATTTAAAACAGTCACAAATACACAACAGTTAACTATGTCATATTGTTAATCAAACCTGCATGATACATTTCATTCCAGGTTTTACCTGGACAACAGTAAAAGTACAAATTAATGACTAAAACTAAAATATTTGAATTCTACTTACACTTTCATTGTCAAAGTAGTATTTTTCATTTCCACCAGAACCTTGCCATGGTACCTGTCAAATAAGGAAATGTATGTTAACTGATAATAAATCTTTAAAATCAGTCTCTATCAAATAATAATATATTTGATTTTTATAGATAAAGTTTTATAGATTTTTTTTTTACATAAGTCTTTAACAAAACTTCTGAACATAACATAATTTTATGAACGCGTTTACAAATGCATGTCTTTGAAATGTTACACAGTAAGATTTTAATGAAAAGTATAAAGAATCTTTTTACAAAGCCGATGCTCTTACTATTTCTCAAACATTTCCTTACCTCACTAAGTTTATTTGACTGCAGATCACAAGTAGCAGTGTATTAGAGGTATGTGAGACGAGGTAACGATCTTTACCCATAATCCTCACTTCATCAATCTCGTAACCGTAGTGAGATTTGAGAACGACCCGTGTATTATTGGACATGTTCTTCACGATAACTTGGTTAGGACCAACGTGTGTCATCTCGAACTTGTTCTTGTAGATTGTTCTCTTGAGACAGCAATCAAATAACTCAACCCCACCACATAGAGTACCCTAAATAATAAATAAAACAATAAACTATCATAAATGCCAAAATTAATAAATATGCTTTCACTTAAAAATTTAGAAGAAAAGAAAAATTAAAACAAGAGGGCCATGATGGCCCTGAGGTCGCTCACCTGTATATAGGCCCCCGGAGCGGGGCCAGTTTTAACCCCGGGGCTTTTATTTGAACAAACATGGAAGACACCCATTAGAAGATATTTCATGATGTTAAGTTTTTACTACACACATATAATGAAAAACAATGAAATCCCCCCCCCCCCCCCTCCCCGGCAGGGCCAATTTTAACCCAAGGGCTTTTATTTGAACAAACTTGTAGACACCCAAAAGAAGATGTTTCATGCTAAACATCTAAGCTCTAGCTCATTGGGTTTTTTAAAAGAAGATTTTTTAAGTTTTTACTATACACATAATATAGTTAATACAATGACACCCCCGGGAGCGGGGCCAGTTTTGACTCCAGGGCTTTTATTTGAACAAACTTGGTAGACACCCAAAAGAAGATGTTTCATGCTTAATATCTAAACTCTAGCTATTTGGGTTTTTTCAAAGAAGATTTTTAAGTTTTTGCTATACACATATAAGGAAAATCAATGACCCCCGGGGCGGGGCCAATTTTGACCCCAGGGCTTTTATTTGAACAAACTTTGTAGACACTCACTAGAAGATGTTTCATGCTTAATATCTTAACTCTAGCTATTTGGGCTTTTTCAAAGAAGATTTTTTAAGTTTTTGCTATACACATATAAGGAAAAACAATGACCCCCCGGGGTGGGGCCAATTTTGACCCCAGGGCTTTTATTTGAACAAACTTGGTAGACACCCATTAGAAGATGTTTCATGCTAAATATCTTAGCTCTAGCTCTTTGAGTTCTTTAAAAGAAGATTTTTTAAGTTTTTACTATATGCATATAGGGAAATCAATGACCCCCTGGGGCGGGGCCAATTTTGACCCCAGGGCTTTTATTTGAACAAACTTGGTAGACACTCACTAGAAGATGTTTCATGCTAAATATCTTAGCTCTAGCTCTTTGAGTTCTTTAAAAGAAAGTTTTTTAAGTTTTTACTATATGCATATAGGGAAAATCAATGACCCCCTGGGGCGGGGCCAATTTTGACCCCAGGGCTTTAATTTGAACAAACTTGGTAGACACCCATTAGAAGATGTTTCATGCTAAATATCTTAGCTCAAGCTCTTTGAGTTCTTTAAAAGAAGATTTTTAAAGTTTTTACTATATGCTAGAGGGAAAATCAATAACCCCCTGGGGCGGGGCCAATTTTGACCCAAGGGCTTTTATTTGAACAAACTTGGTAGACACTCATTAGAAGATGTTTCATGCTAAATATCTTAGCTCTAGCTCTTTGAGTTCTTTAAAAGAAGATTTTTTAAAGTTTTTACTATATGCATATAGGGAGAATCAATGACCCCCTGGGGCGGGGCCAATTTTGACCCCAGGGCTTTTATTTGAACAAACTTGGTAAACACTCACTAGAAGATGTTTCATGCCAAATATCTAAGCTCTAGCTCTTTGGGTTTTTTAAAAGAAGATATCTTAAGCTTTTTCTTTCGGTTGCTATGGCAACCAGAGTTCTGCATGGAATTAAATTCTTTGAACAATTTTTAAAGGTGACTACCAAAGGAACATTCCTGTGAAGTTTGGATGAAATTGGCTTAGTGGTTTATGAGGAGATGTCATTTAAAGTAAAAGTTTACGGACGGACGGCCGGACGGACGGACGCCGGACGAAAAGCGATCACAAAAGCTCACCCTGTCACTTTGTGACAGGTGAGCTAAAAATAAAGTACAGGAACATGATGTACTTAATTTCACATATCTCAGGGTTTTTTTCTCAGGATTTTGGGAACATGACCCATACCCATGACATTGGGAATTTCAGCAATGTTTTGTTAACAATTGGGGAAAAATGCATGCCTGAAAATTTGCAGTGATTAAATAGAATGCAAAGGCACTATGATCACAGTGCAGAAGCCCTTATTTTCAAAGATTTTTTATTCAATATTTTCATTTTGTTACTTTCAATAAGGAATTTTTTCCTGTGGATTGGGAAAAAAATACACTATTTTCAATTGGGAATATGACCGAATATCGACAATAAAATAAGCCAAAAAAAATCCCTGTATTTAAATTACAATGGATTAGAGCAATAACATTCCAGAAGGAAATTTATTTGAAAATATCATAGAAACTTGATGTACTTACTGCAGTGACTCTAGCTCCATCTTTTTTCCAGGCCAGTGCTGTAATTGTGTACAAGTTTCTGATATCCTTACACTTTGGTTCATCCCACATCTGACGCCTTGGACTCCAGTTTAGAACTCGCAATCTTGAAATAAATTTTAACATTTATGTAAACATTTTTGCATTCTGAACATAATGGCTTATAAAGAAAATCTGGCAGAAATTCTAATGTCATAAACTTATATTCCCAAATTTCTAATAAAATATGTGTTACTAATCACAAGTATTGAGAGAAAATGAGAAAATTAATATTTGTCCATAAAAATATTACTCAGTCTTCAAATTCTTTTATAAATCCACAATAAAATATTTACAACCAACAGTGTATTCTTTTGTTAAACTTTTTAAGAACAACATTTAAATCAGACCATTATAAGATTTATATTCATATTAAAAGTCATTTGAATCATATTGGAGTAATGAATGATAAGGTGTTGAAAGAGAAACATAATGGACGATATATAACTTTTACTAACCTGTCGTAACTGCCTACAACAATAGACTGTCCACTAGGGCTACAAACAGCTACAGTAAATTCATGTTCATCATCATCTCTACTGTAATCAAAATGTTGAAAGCTTCGTCCTTCACGTCCATAGGCAATAATACGTTTATCACATCCAGCTGCTACTATTGCATTCTGGGAGTAGGCGAGAGCGTATGGTGGGCAGGGATGAGTACTGATTTTACCCTACAATATATATAGTCAAGTTTTTCTACTGTTTATAACATATCATTCGAAATAAAAGCAATAAAATATTATTTTCATGCATGTAAAAAGTTGATATAAATGAATAGTTGATACAGACAAACTGGTCAATAGAGAGTGGTTTTCAAACAGAAAAAGAAGTTAACAAGTGAACTGCCAAAAAAAAAAAATTTTCATTAAAAATTGATCGCATGGGCAACTTAAAATCCAAACTTACATTCCTATATGAAAGGTTTTATGTAATTGCAAAATCAAAACTCAATTAATGCATAAATGGCTCTATTCTATATTGACAATCAAAGTAATAAAAGGTAATAAAAGCAGCACTTAGTAATGCTTATCATTAATCAAACACTTCTTCAACATAACAACATTAGAACATAAGAAATGTACAAATATGACCAAGTGCACACTGTTTTCTCTGTTATTTGTTACCATAGAAACAAATATAATACCTGTTGATCCCCAGTTCCCTCATCATCAAAGAAGAATCTAACAATAGAACCATCAGCATGGCCTGATAGAAATCCTTTCCCTGTTGGACTGTAATGAAAAATAAATTAATACAATATTTTCTCAACATATTGTTTATTTTATCAATAAAACACTTATTACATTACTAACATTAGATTTAGTAAAATAAGCATGATTTTCACTACAAGAACATTTTTGTACAACTTTGTTTTACATACATGCATCTATCTTGTCAAAAAAGTAAATTGCATAAGTGGCATAAGAGTAATCCGGACAAACTTTTAAAAAAATCATTAAAGGGCAATAACTTTGACAAAAAATTATTGAACCTGAAAATGTTGACGATATACACAACTAGATTAGGTACTGATCATTCATGTAATGTTTGGATGGATTTGCATCAGTAGTTTTTGCGGGGTAGTCTGGACAAATTTTGTGACAGTCGGACAAAAGGATGACAGAGAAGTGATCCCTGTATGTCACCACTACTCTGTATAGGTGACACAAAAATGGTCAAGCAAGATGAAGCATGTTACATTTAACCAATAAAGAAATACCCTAAATTCAATTAAATTATAAATAGTAACTTACTTGGCAGCCAGTGAAACAACATAGGAATCTGTTCCATATATTGTTGAAGACTTGTTTGTCTTGACATTAGCAGCTCGTACCTGACAATACAAAATAAAATGTATATAAACAAGGAAAATATTCTTGTTACCTTAAATATATCAATATAAACCAGAATACAAAGAAGGCTGGTAGATAATTAATTTTTGTACAGAAACTTAATGCTGAAGTCATATGTATAATATAAACATGACCTTCATAGGTTTTAACGAAAGTTCAATGATATGAAAGATAAACAACTTTTGTCACTTTGTCATCACTCCTGCTACCCAACCACATTCCCAAATATCAAACCTATCCCAAATATCAAACCCTTCCCAAATATCAAATATTATTCAAGCAGAGTGATACATCATGCAAAAGTTCAACTGTCCTTATTACATGTACTTTTTAAAAGCTAGAAGACATATAAACAAGGAGTCAGATTCCTGACCTTTGTGCAACATGTATACTAATATATGCTGTGTATGATTTTTTAATGTTCCTAAACTTATATGTACTGGTTGGTAATATAATGTATGATGAAATTCAAACTTTAAACAAACCTTTCCGTCTGCAAGTCCAAACACTATTGGTTGATCTGGTGGCCAGATAAGACAAGTTACAGCACTCTGCTGGATAAACTTGTTACATATCACCTTTTTCTCTCCCCTGAAGAACACAAATTAAATATTACTACTAAAAGAACAAATGAATGTGAAGTTTTATTTAATATAACACTGCAATTTACCGTATATAATTAAACTATAATTATTTAAGGGACCAAAGGAACTGAAATCAATTAATTTTGTTGAAATGGAGTGGGACTGGTGTATTGTTATGATTTTTAAATACACAAATTAAATAACATTTACTGATTCTTTAACAACCTACCAGTCTTCCCCTATCTTGTAAACATATACAATATTATCTGTCTGTCCTATAGCAAGTTTAGTAGAGCAACCAGAAAATGCTATTCCTTTCACTGTGTAGCTTCTCTTTCCATACTAGAAATATCACAACAATATCAAAAAGTGCTTATTTTAACACTTAAGTTTCAATCAAATTAGGTCTACATTTTGAATGAATATTTTGTAATTACTGTACAATGTGCATGAGACATCTTTAGAAACTGTTGTACCAACTTTGATTTTGACTTGCTAATACACAATGTATTAATCATCTAAAAGTATTTATTGCAGCTTCATTCCATCTAGAGTCAAATGATGTTAAACATTATGCAAGTTAGTATTTAGACTATGAAACTAAAAAATCTTAATTAAAAAGATTTGATGAATCAGTACTGTATCTTTCCTCACATTTCTTGCTAAATTTTGACTTAAACACAATTCTAACTTCAAAAGTTTATCAATCATTTCATTTTTTTTAAACATTAATATAAAGTTTAATAAACTTATAAACCCACCATTTTATTCCATTTATCAATTATATTTAACTTTACAGATACACATAACAGTAGACTAGCAACATACTATATTAATATATATATATTTATAATTATATGAACATGCTTATTTATTTTTATATGTTTTACTATATTATAATATCTTAAATTTTTGAGTACATGCAGTCAATGAATTTAAGATTTTGAATTTACTAGCCTGAATTCCAGTTTTGAATTTATTCTACTAAATATTACTAAATTTTCTTAAAATTTTCACTGGCCCGAACTAATTTTCACTGGCCATGGACCACCGGGCCAGTGCTAAATTTGATGACTGTACATGTGACCCTACCTTCGCATCAGCTGGTTTAAGAGAAAATTTATCTCTTTTTTCACCTTGTTCATCAAACAGCAGAATTACTCTATCAGAAGTACAGACAGCAAACTTCATATTGTTTGCTGACCATGCCATGGCACAAATCTTTGCTGCCCCATCCTATAACAAAACATAAGCAATATACAGTTTGTGATTTTTCACCTTACATAATAGATGCCTATAAAAGGTCTCTTCCCAATGGAAATTATCCTTAAAATCATGCAGTTCTCCCAAAAAATCTAAACTTACACCAGCTTCTTTACTTCCCAAATTAGCAATTTCTTCACAAAATCAAGAGGCTATTTTAAGGCCTCTTCCCAATTAAGTGAGAAAATCCACTGACAGTCTTAAAACAGGGCATTTTCACCCTTTCACCATGAGCCAAAAGTAAGGCCTCATTCCAAATCCAATATAGCCAAAAAAATTAAACTCTTTCAACTTCTTTAAAATACAAATGTATAAAGTACAACACTATGAACTTTTTAGTAATAATCTAATATGAGGTTACTAAATAAATTATTGTGTACAACTCTGAATTCTACTAAATGAATACACAGCTGTTAAATCTATATTGCACGAGGATGAGGCACAATCTAAGTCTGATATAGGTTTTGCAGTTGTGTACTCGTCCAATAGATTAAGTATTGTTTTATTAAAGCTGTACCATTATTAACAAGACAAATGACACAAATGCCTGTGGTCAGGAGATGCGAAGTTGAAAAATAGTTAAGGTAGATACACAAGTGAGGCTTTTTTTCTTCTTTCTTTTTGGGAAAACACAAGAAGGCAAAAATTTTGGGAAATCTGTGTCATTAAAATTTTCATTTTGGGATAAAAAGTTAACATGAAATTTTACAAAGTTGGGAAAATAATTGCCAGCATTCAAGATGTTTAAATTCTTTAAATAAAGCTTAATAAATCTTATTTGTACTGTTCAGCTTCTGGATAGCTATTATCTGACATCAAATACAAAAATCGGTCCTTTTTACAAATCGCTGACCTCAGATTGGGAAAAAAGAACAAAATTTAGATTGAAAATGGGGTCTATATTTGGTCCCTCCAAGTGTTCAAAACCAAGACAACAACAATTACATATGTAAAATGAATTACCATGTTAAATAGCAGGTTTTGACACACTAAGTATTTAAGAATGCCCTTTAGATCTTTAATATTTATTTAGAGTGAATCTCTTAAAATTGGTAAAATTGCCATTTCTGGCATTCTGCTCATGTCAAATAAAACTTATATATTCTTATAAAATGACACTGACTAGCAACTGTTATGAGTGTGTCAAAGAATGAAATGAGTTTAGAGATAGTTTAACAATGTTTAATACCCATACTGTAACTGAAATCTCAGGAATTCCCTGAATTCATGTCAGGTTCTGTAACACAATTTAACATATTAATCTTATTAAATTTGGTCGGTAAATTACAAGAAGTAATTGTTAATCTTACCTGTGGGGGCAGCATAGTACGCATATGTTTGAGTTGCATACTCATTTTGCACGGTTTATGTGCAAATCCACCTAAATTTCAGACTTTCTGCTATTCACTTTTTGGAATGTTTAGGATATCTCCGTTACAGTTAGATTCGAATTTAAAGTTTATACTTTTTCCCCGCATAAATATAAAAAAAAATAAAATATCATTTAAAGTAATATATTTTTAAATAAAATTATGAAGAAAAAATAGCTTGTTTTTATTTTTTTTTGGTAAAATAATAATTCGAATATTCTGATGTTATTGTTGCTAAGTGATTGTTTACTCGTCGCACCTGTTCCTAAACGAAAGTGAAAGTAGAAAAATCTGTTCAAATAGTATCGGAGAGCTTCATTGTCTTTTTCTTACAATCATTAAAACACTAAAAGTCATTCTACTTTGTTGTTTTTTTTTCATCCAAACTATGAAATAACGTTTAGATGATTGTCAATACCTGCATGTATTATAATTTATAGAAAGGGACTACGAGGAAGCGAAGCTTTTGATGATTTTATTATATTGTATCAACAAACTGGAGCATATATATTTAAATCATCAAAATAATTAACTGAAAGCATGAAACATTTGCCTTAAAACATAATAAAATAAAATTATTTTATGTGGATCAGGATTAGACTACATATTATATACTAATATCGATAATTCTATTTCTATTAGCGTTTTAGAATGGCAATAAACATGTATATTTATTTTATTTTTATATACTCTCGCCTTTCTGTGTTTGTTCTGGGGTCACTCAGCCTAAAAAGCTCAGCTTAGCATCCTTGATGATGTTCCGGCCTGAATACTACATGAAATATTTTTCGTGTAGTTTGTAACAATTTCTAAGCTCTATTAGACAAGTTGTTTCTGACAAATTTTATGATAGAATTGTAACTTTAGAGGTGTTGTTTAAAGAAATTATGGATAATTAGGCACGACTGATTATAAATAATAACAAGAGCCCAGTTTGAACCCGGTGATGCTCCCCGAATAGGTTTTTGACACAAGAAAGTACACCTCTTGTAGTTTCAGAGTTATGTCCCTGGACAAAGTGCAATAATTCCAGAATAAGGCAAGGCAGAGTAACTGTTCTTTGCACTGGACTTCTATTTAATGAGATCTATCTACCTACAAAGTTTCTTGTTGATACCCGTAATTGTTTCCGAGTTATGTCCCTGAAAAAGTGTAAAATGTAAAAATGAACAAAGAACAATAACTCAAAAATGCAAGGCAGAGTTACGTTCCTTGTGCACTGCTCATCTACCTATTGAGATCTATCTACCTACAAAGTTTCATGTTGAATTCACTAATAATTATAGAGTTATATCTCGGACAAGATTTATCTAAAAGGGGAGATAATTCAATTAAATGGCTAACCAGTGTTCTGGTTCTTTTGCACTGCACTTCTACCCATTGAGAATTATGGACCTACAAAGTTTTATGTTGATATCTCTGATAATGTTAGAGTAATATCACGGACAAAGTTCAGAGTGTAAAAATAATTAAAGGGCAATAACTCCAAAATTTGGCAAAGCAGAGTTACAGTTCTTATGCACTGCATATCTTCTCATTGAGATTTATCTACCTACAAAGTTTTATGTTGATATCTCTTATAATTATAGAGTTACATCTAGGACATGGTTTTTCTAAAAGGGGAGATAATAAAAAAACTGGGCAAAATAGAGTTATGGTTCTTTGACACTGTACTCCGCCTCGATGTCCTTTACCACTGTGTGAAGGTTAAACAAATTATCTCCAAGGGTTTTCAAGTTATGCTCTGGACAAGACAACGGATGGACAGAAGGACAGACAGACGGATAAGGCGTCAACTACATGCTTGTATACATATGTCCAGACCATAAAAATTACAATGGGTAATAATTACAAAACCATACAAAAAAATAAAGGTTTTTGGTTTCAGCTAACCTCATTAATTTGGGCATGAACGGTTTGACCCATTTTACAAACTTTTTTTCAAACTGTCAAACCGTTGGAAAAAGATATCGCCCGTCCAATATTATCTCGATGTGTCTTTGACAAGTCTAATTAGTTGGACTAGGTTACTGCATTTCCTATATATGATCTATCCATCAGTGATAATTAAATTGAGACCTCCAATGCATTTTTAGTTATGCTGCAATACAAAATTATGAAAAATTACAAAGGGCAATAACTTCAAAATTTTACCATAAAGAGTTATGATCCTTGGCCACCGAACATCTCCATGTTGAGATCTATCCATTTATAAAGTTCCAAATTGATATTTTAATTACTCTTTGAGCTATGTCCCAGACTAAAGTTATGTATAAAAGTTTTCAAAGAGAAATTACAGAACAGTTATGCAAGAGATTTATGGTTCTTGAATACTTCACTTCTCCTCCATATGTAACAACATATGAAGTTTAAGGTTTATGACTGAAAAAGCAGCTTTATTTTAATATTACAATTAAACCGAGATGAATTGGCCAGCATCAAATGGTTTAGAATTATTCACTCTGTCAATAGATTTAATTAAATAAACAAGAGGGCCAAGATGGCCCTAGATTGCTCACCTGACCCGTCAAACTCATCCGAACAATTACCTAGACAAGCGTTATCACCAAGTTTCATGACAGGTGTGTCAAAAATGTGACCACTAGTGTTAACAAGGATTATCCATAGTTGAGCAGTGTGACCTAGTTTTTGACCCCAGGTGACCCATATTCGAGCTTGACATTCAAGCAATTACCTAGACAAGCATCCTGACCAAGTTTGAATTTAATTGAGTCAAAAATGTGACACTAGAGTGTTCACAAGGTTTTTCTATTTTTAGCTCCTGTGACCTAGTTTTCCATCCGAGATAAATCATGTTCAAACTTATCCAAGCATCGACTAGACAAGCATTCTGACAAAGTTTGATGATGATTGGGTCAAAAATGTGACCACTAGACTGTTTGCAAGGTTTTTCTATTTTTAGCTCCTGTGACCTAGTTTTCCACCCGAGATGACCCATGTTCAAACTCATCCAAACAATTGACTAAACAAGCATCCTGACAAGGTTTCTTAATAATTGGGTCAAAAATGTGACCACTAGAGTGTTCACAAGGTTTTTCTATTTATAGCTCCTGTGACCTAGTTTTTCATCGGAGATAAACCATGTGCAATCTCATCAAAGCAATTATCTAAACAAGCATCCTGACAAAGTTTGATCATGATTAGGTAAAAAATGTGACCACTAGAGTGTTCAAAAGGTTTTTCTATTTTTAGCTCCTGTGACCAAATTTTTCATATTCAAATTCATCTGAGCAATTGACTAGACAAGCATCCACACTAAGTTTGATGATGATTGGGTAAAAAATGTGACCACTAGAGTGTTCACAAGGTTTTTCTATTTATAGCTCCTGTGACCTAGTTTTTCATCAGAGATGACCCATATTCGAACTCATCTGCGCAATTATCTAAACAAGCATCCTGACAAAGTTTGATGATGATTGGGTAAAAAATGTGACCACTAGAGTGTTCACAAGGTTTTTCTATTTTTAGCTCCTGTGACCTAGTTTTTCATCAGAGATGACCCATGTCCGAACTCATCTAAGCAATTGACTAGACAAGCATTCTGACCAAGTTTGATGAGGATTGGTTAAAAAAAGTGACCACTAGAGTGTTCAGAAGGTTTTTCTATTTAGCTCCTGTGACCTAGATTTTCATCAAAGATGACCCATGTTCGAACTCATCCAAGCAATAATCTAAACAAGCATTCTGACAAAGGTTGATGATGATTGGGTCAAAAATGTGACCACTAGAGTGTTCACAAGGTTTTTCTATTTTTAGCTCCTTTGACCTAGTTTTCCATCCGAAATGACCCAGTTTCGAAATCATCCGAGCAATTGACTAAACAAGCATCCTGACAAAGTTTGATGATGATAGAGTCATAAGTGTGACCACTAGTGTGTTCACAAGCAATTGTGGACGTACGACGGACATTCACCGATCCTAATAGCTCACCCTGAGCAAGCTCAGGTGAGCTAAAAAAGAAGGAAATGATATAAATTGTCAGTTTGAAACAATACATGTATTAATCTGTCAGTTTAAGGGGAAATTTTGACTCGTGCAGAAAGATCAAAGAAAATACCTATGAACCCCAAATAATGTGGAAAGACAAACAGTCCGACAGACAACAAGTCTATGTTACTGGGGATCTAACATCACCATGTAGACACTGAATTCATCTCTTTTAGCATTTTTTAAAAATAATCTTCTTTACAACTTTATCACTTCAACTTGTCCAGTTTCTTACACAAACATTGCAAATTTATGCTATTTAGGAGGACATATGGTTACTAAGTCTTTATGTTGTCCATAAAAAACATTACAGATTCTGACTGGGGATTGAATCAATATTACTAGATCCAAAAATATTATTTATATAATTAATTCAACATCAAGGCTGTTGAAAATGCTTAATAAATTCATGCCTAAAAATCGACTGGGATTTTTTTTTCTTGATTGGGTTTCATGTGTCACCAACACTATGTAGGTTATATAGTTACTTTCTAGTTATTACTGGTGGAGGAAGACCTTAAGTGCCCCTCTGTGCATTATTTCAGGCACAGACCGGCACCCAAGTAGAACCATCTACATTCCTTAAGCTAGGTGGATAGCTTCCTCACATGAAAGAATCCAAAGTCTCTGGTGGGATACCAATCCACAGCGCTAAGGGGCAAGCGGTTTTAAGTCAAACTTGACCACCTGTTAGATTTCTAATATCTATTCATTCCATTACCAAGCTTTTTTGCTTTGAAAAGAATTTTTGAGTAACCATGACACGGTTCAATGCAAGGAAAATCATGGTTAAGTTTCAACATTGGCCTCTTATTATTACAGAAGCTAGAAAATAAAACACAATTTGTTTCAATCTGTTTAATAATACAAGATTCTTTACTTTACCATACTAGATACAGCATAAATAATATATGCAATTAGAAGTATACAATTATTTCTACACAAAAGAAAGAAAAGCCTTTCCTTTCATTAATTACAATATAAAATAAAGTCATTAACAAAATGTTATAAAATAATTATAATAACAAATTACAAAATTTGTTGATTTTCCAACTCATGCAATGGTATGAAGATGAAATCTTTTTGCGATATTTGTTTTGAGTTCATTTAAAAAAGAGTCCATAATTCTGTCAAAATTCAGTTTTAGTGCTGAAAATGGGAGAATTTTTTTCCCTAAATGCTCCCACTCAGACCCTCAAACAAAATTTACAACGTTTTCAGGCTTAAACCAGACAGTAAAACTTTAAATATTTTTTACGATATTTTATCAAGTACTGAAGCCAATCTTTGGGTGTGCTACATTATTTTTTGATATTCTAATGATTTCTCCGAGTAAAAACATGTGTTATCTTCAAGTCAATGGGATAACAATCCATTTGGAAGCATTTTGCAAGCGTGAAATGATGCAACATCCTACCATTGACTAGGGTGTAATGCCTTTTCTACACTTAAATCACATGAAAGACAGATATAGAATTGAAACAAGATTGCATTTGAGAAAAATGCTATGCCACCGCATTAATACAACACTAAATAGTAGTGCAGGAACAGATTTTTTTGTTTCTATACAATTTTGTAGATTGTCATAATGCATAGATCCCTGACCTATCTAATTCTTATCAGATAAGTGGTTAAATCTGTTGTTAACTCAATAAAAGATCAGAGTAGGAATATATCAATGCACTCGAGTCTAGTGAATCTGGTGGTGAAGGTCATATTTCACACAGCCTAAATTTCATGACTACATCAAAGGACAACACAGTAAGACACTTTGTCAAAATCTAGGTCAGCTGATATCAAAGTTCACTTTACATCTTAATCTGTGCACATGGTTCAAATTTCATAGCTGTACATCAAAGGACAAGAAAGTAGGTCACATCATCAAAATCTAGGTCACCTGATATCATAATTCAATTTTACAACTAAAATTGTGCACATGGTCAAAATTTCATTGCTGTACATCAAAGGACAAGAAAATAGGTCACTGTCCCCTTGGGCAAGGCAAAATTTTGGACCCAAGGGTTTAATTCAAAACAATCTTGATACAGGTCCACCAAACAACATTTCAAGTCAAATATCTAAGCTGTAGCTTTCTCCCATTCAGAAAACATTTGTTTTATTTTCTGTTTTATTATGTGTCAGGGCCAATTTTAACACCATGGAAAAAATTTGAACAACTTTGGTAGAGGACCTATAGATGATATATATAATATAGCAAACATCAAAGCTCTATGCCTTGTACCTTCAGACAAAAATATTTTTTATTTTATTACTATATGTACATAATGAAAATTAATGACCCCCGGGGCGGAACCAATTTTATCCCAGGGCTATAATTTGAACAATCTTGGTAAAGGTTCACTTCGTAAAGTCTCATGCCATATATTTAACCTCTTGCCTTTGTCAATTCAGAGAAGAGGATTTTTCAATTCAGAGAAGAGGATTTTTCAAGTTTTTACTTTATACATATAAGGAAAACTATCGCCTCTGGGGCAGTGCAATTTTAACACTAGGGGCAAAATTAAAACAACTTTAGTAGAGGACCAATAGATAATATTATATACCAAATATCAAAGCTCTAAGCCTTGTACCTTAAGACAAGAAGATTGTTTAATTTTTTACTATATGTACATACTGAAAATCAATGACCCCTGGGGATGGGGCCAATTTTAACCCCAGGACTATAATTTGTACAATCCTGCTAGAGGTTCACTACATAATGTTTCATGCAAAATATCTTAACTCTAGCCTTTGTAAATTTAGAGAAGATGATTTTTTTAAGTTTTTACATATAAGGAAAACCTATGGCCCCTGGGGCGGGGCTAATTTTGACACTAAAGGCAAACTTTGAGCAACTTTGGTAGAGTACCTATAGATGATATCATTTAACAAAAAATATTAAAGCTCTAACCCTTGTACCTTCAGCATTTGTAAATTGCTAGAAGAAATTGTTTTAAAGTTTTTACTATATTCATTTAAGGAAAACCAATGAACCCCGGGGCGGGGCTGATTTTGATCCAAGGGCTATAATTTGAACAATCTGGGTAGAGGTCTACCAGACAATGCCTTATGCAAAATATCTAAGCTCTAGGCCTTTTGGGTCTTTACAAGAAGGTATTTTAAGTTTTTACTATATGTACATATAGTGAAAATCAAGACCCCCGGGGCGGGGCCGATTTTGACCCGAGGGCTATAATTTGAACAATCTTGGTAAGGGTCTACCAGACAATGCCTTTTGCAAAATATCTAAGCTCTAGGCCTTTTGGGTCTTTACAAGAAGGTATTTTAAGTTTTTACTCTATGTACATAAATCAATGACCCCCGGGGCGGGGCAGATTTTGACCCCAGGGCTATAATTTGAACAATCTTGGTAGAGGTCTACCAGACAATGCCTTATGCAAAATATCTTAGCTCTAGGCCTTTTGGGTCTTTACAAGAAGATTTTTTAAATTTATTCTTATAATTCCTTTTGGTTGCCATGGCAACCAGATTTCTGCATGGAATGAAATTCTTTGAATAACTTTGGAAGCCCTTCACCCAAGGATCAATCCTGCCAAGTTTGGTTGAAATTGGACTAGTGGTTTTTCACAAGAAGATTTTTTAAGTTCACTATATAATCTATATAACACACAAACAAACAAACACACACACACACACACACACACACAGGTGAATCGCTATATGCCACCGCATCGCAGATGCTGCGGTGGCATAAAAATCAGATATCTAGTTCAATAATTTATTGGAATTGATTTTAAGTTAAAACAATGAGCACCTAAGACAGGATGTAAACAGTGGGCAAAATCTTTAACCAAATGATTTATAGTACAAAAATTACTTTTAATACACTTGTTTTTAATATATGTAGTAACAAAACTGCCTATGATTTGAACTGATTATGAGTGTCACGTGACCTATCATGAGTTTGCGGCCCGGGGCCGAGAACTAGTTATCAGCCCACAGAACATGTGCACATGCACAAACTGAAACAATGACGTCACATTTAACGTCATCAAACAGTTAACTGTAAAAGTGAAAGTAGGTTGTCAGCACGAACCGCTTTATTTTTATTATGAGAACTTAAGCGTATTTAGTACAAACACATTTTTGTTACTATTGAAATTTGAAGAAATAATAAGACAAATTCATTCCGAAAAAAATGAAAATTAAACTTGCTTCTTGATTCTACTGCTTTGAACACACAAACAGAAAACATCTCTGTACAGAACAGTAGAAGAGTAGACAAAAATTTCAACGAAAGAACTTCAAAGTCTTTTTGTTATGATTATGTTTTTGTTATCTTTTTGTTGATTTTTTTTTAAATGCTACTATTAGATCTACCAAGTGTATTAAAAACATTAATACACGTCAGCGTAGGGCCGGAAGGTGATAATCGGCCCTGAATGAATAATGGACCTCGGGCTAAAGCCCTCGGCTCCATTATTCATTTTGCGGGCCGAATATCACCTTCCGGCCCTCTACTGCCGTGTATTAACCTCTTATTAATATATGGAACAAATTTTATATCAAATTGGGAAATACACATGATTGTATATCTCATTTTTCTTGCAAATCATATTGCATTCATTAGTATTTGCCCATGTACTTGGAAATGTTATTTCACACCTCCAATTAGAAGGGACTCCACTGAGGTTTAAAAGCCTAAAAACATAACATTTGAATTTCTTACATAAATAAGCTGGGGCACCTTAAACAGAAATATATGCAAAGATAGTTAAGAAATATACTTTCAAATAAATTGAAAATCGTATTTTTATGCCTTTCTTAGTCTGATTCGAGTGAAAAGTGTTTAAACTCTTTTCATTTTGAGTCATTTTTTTACAATTTGAATAATTATTCTGGAAAAACAAAGTGCGCGAATGATCTGAAATTTTGCATAAAGATTAGTTTTATAAACCTTCATCAAATAGTACAGTTCGTATTGTATCGATTTATTCAGGGAATAGACATAAACACATACAATGTTATCACATATTATATTATTCACAGTTATATGGAAAAAATATTTTCAGTCCCATCATGTCAAAAAACCTCAGTGGAGTCCCTTTAAGAAGACTTGTATGTTTTAAAATGACCTTATTCATCGCAATAACTAACAAATTGGATGCTCAAGAAAATATCATTTCACTGTTTTGAATGAAGATTTAAATTTGAAGGTATAAATTCATAATGCTGAAAACTGGTTTTTATAATTTCCTTTTGAAACCATATTTAACATATGCAATACGGAATATGCAAGAAAAAAAAATCAAACACTGGTTGACATAATAGACTTGAATATCAGACTCTCAAGCAAATGTTTAAGGTAATAAGGATCTAACAAGTTTCTGCTGAACAGTTACCTTCAAGCCAGATAATCTGGTCTTAACCCGCAGCCGGTGTAAGATTCTTACTGGTATAACCATACAATAGCACTGAAACAGCAAGTTATAACTGGCATAAAATAAACATTGTTACAGTCAAACTAACTAATAATAATCAATTGTAAAATACAAAACATATCTTAATTTAAACATATACAAAAACAAGCATGTAAAAGGGATCATTTTCCTATGCAGATGGACAGAAAAAAATAAAACATACAAAATAAATGACAACTTTTTTTTATAGTTTTGTAAAGAAACTCACTACATGAAGGTTTATAATTAACATAAATATACAGTTAAAGTAAATACATGTATTTCATATATATAGTCGGTCTATAAACACATTTTCTTTCCCATCATACAAACACTACATAGCCTTTTCTAGAAGAAATCTGACTCTGTGCAGTTCTAAAGGTATATAAAATACTTAAATACAGGTTACCTAGCTTACTTGAATGGTAAAAATAACATTTCAAGAATCTAAAACAAAACCAGTACATGGTTTACAAGGTTCAAAATTACTAATAATTCAGAGAAGAAACTAAATATATCACTCTTCATAAACAGTTAAACTAAAAAGCTACCCCTCTTTAGACTCAATAGATGAATTCCTTTATTTTTCTGAGAGAACTATAACATTTATATAAGAAGCTAGGTATTATATTGCAAGTGTTTCAAAATGTTCAGAAAATGCTCAATTATTGATTGTGATAAATTGAGTCACAGGATAATTTTTCAATTTGATATACTTGAGTAAACATTGTTCTATTGTATTTTTTATAAGAATACATAATACCCAAATAACCATAGCCTTTACTCTGAAAATTTACAAATAAACTGTTTGGATAAATAATATCTTTGATAATTAAATATTAATCTTCTGGCACAAAATCTTCATCAAATGATCTACCCCTTAAATCTGGTGACACCTGCAACTCAGGAGAGGAATCTGATGACATAGAATTAGGTGAATCATACTCCCATGATGGAGTGATCTCCCTTGGTAAATTAATGATATAGTCTTGCTCTGGGGTAGACCTGTCTCTACTAGCAAACTCTCTTGTAGCATCAACTATATTAGACACAGACAGGGGTCGAGCTTCATAGACAGGGTCAGACGTCCACCTAAATCCACCACTGTCAGACACACCTGGAATACTGCCACCTGGATTTGAAGTTCCTGTCATGATATGTTCTGATTCAGTAGCTTCTAAAACTTCTGTGGTTTCATCATTTATTGTATGTTGGTCTTGATTTGTGTTTGTATTAGAATCAACTTTATTTTGAGAAGTTCCAGCAATTTCTGCATAAAAGGGACTGGCTTCATTATCTGAGGACAGTCTATCTGAACTATTGCTAGCAGGTTTTGCATTCGAAAGCTCTGTGTCATTATCTAAGATTGTTACATGATCTGTATTTGATACAGAATTTTCTTCTGATTCTTCATACCTATCAGTGTCACTTTCAGATTTACAATCGGTTGAAGACAAGGCACTGTTAGTATCCTCACAATTGTAATCAAGATCTGTTTCTGAACTTGTATCAATGCTCAAAATTGCAACATCATTGGTCTTATTATTTTCTTCATCTGCATCTATCACTATTTCATCATCAGAACAGCCTGTTATATCAATATCAGAAACATTTTTAATGTTATTTGTATTTTCTCCATTATTGTCACTTTCTGAATCTTCGTCTATTTCAAATGTTTTATGTCCTTCTACCAGAGAACATTCAATGTCAGAATCATCATTCTCTACGTCAATATCACTTTCATTGTTACTATAATCTTTTTCAGGACTATTTCTTTCTTGTATATTTGAACATTTCTCATTATTTTTAACGTCTTCATCACTCTGCTCTTCATTAGAATCCCCAACTACATCAATATAATCTTTTGGAGTACCTATCTTTATACTTTCATCACTTGTTTTGTATGATATAACATCTGCTGGTTCTGAAGGGACAGTGATACCAGTAATATCAACATCTGAATCATCAGACATACCATCAACGTCAACAGTTTCATTTTCTTTATTTGTTACATCTTTGCAACTGAAAAGTCCAGTACTTGTAGGAGACTCATATGAAGGAGTTTCATTTGGACATCTCTGTCTACTTTCAGGGCTATTGAAATGTGTTCTGTAATTCTTCATGGGATTTAAAAAGTTTGAGTTAAAATTTGAAAAAGTTAGGAATGAAGGCAATTGACGATCAGAATCCATATCTGAGCATGATGTGATGTCATGTGACTGAATGCTGTCCTCAGGTTTTGAAACTCCACATATATTTTCTGAATTAAACAATGGTTCAGAACATAAATAACTTTCGCTTGCTTGTGGTGCAGATGAATTCTGAGATTTGTTTGACTTCTTATGCCCATATGGGTGTTTTTTAAAAGATCTCTGATTAAAAATGTCATCTGGATTGACCATTCTATTAGGATCAGAGTTTGGATCTTCCTCATGTTTGTCCCTAGCATCAACAATGTTGTCTTTTAATAATGAGTTTATATAATCATTATCAGCAAGAGTTTTGTTGATGTTGTCCAATTCTTTGTCTATTACAGCTGCTTGTGCAGCATCTACTTCAACAAATTCTACAGTAGGAGGATGAAATGCAGCTGAATTCTGAATAGGATCACTAACTTCTTTCTCAGAGTCATTTTCAACATCAATATCGCTAATACTGTCAGGTTCAGAATCACTTGTGTAAAGTAAGGACTTGTTTATTTTTCTAGATGATCTTTTATCAACATTAGATTTATCATCCCTGTTCTTTTTGTCTTTCATGTGTTTCTTCTTTTTGGATTTATGTTTACTTTTTTTATGGGACCCAGAAGAAATATGTCCATCAGAATGGATTTTCCGTCTTTTTTCGTTTCCTGCTGACTTATGCTTTTTATGTTTATGGTGATGGGATATAACATTATGGTCATCATCACTTATTACCAGATCGTCAGATCCTTTGTTCTTTTTATGCTTTTTGCTCTTTTTTGACTTTGAACTTTTCTTTCTATATTCAAAAATTTCAATACTTGAGTGTTTTGATTTTGATTTATGTCTATGAGATGTTATAGAAAGGTGTGATTCAGTGTCTGAATCTGAAGTGAACAATGAACTTGACCCTTCAGATATTCTGTTACCAAAAGGTCTGTAGGGATCAATTTCTTCTGATTTATCACTGTGAGTTTTATAGGAAAATTTTTTATGCTGATAATCTGGTGATCTGATAAGAGTCAATCTTACTGGTGAGACTGACCTTGTCCTTGACCTTGAACAAATGTTGGTTAATGATGACTTTGACCTAGATCTGTGGCGTTTCTTCTTTGAATGACTTTCTCCTGAAGTTTCTCTTCCTCTTTTATGTCTTTCTCTATTTTGTGAAGTGGACATATCTTCCTGCCTTTTCTTATGTTTCTTTTTCTTCTTTTCTATTTTAACTGGATCATTTATATGTGTAGTTCCAGTTATCATGACATCATAGTCAGTTTCACCACCTGAGGACAATCTAATTGGGCTTCGCTCATTCCATGGTTTTTCAACTTCAATAATTTCAACATCACTGTTATTTGAATCAGAATTCATTGAAACTGATACAGGGCCCTGATTTGACAATGTACCTCCAAATGAAGTAGCATTTTCTATTTGAGAGGAAGGTGGGGGATGTTGAGGCATTAAATTGATAGAATCAAATAGATTGCCGAAAATACTACTAGTTGACGGTAAAGGCTGTGAGCTTGGTGCACTGTAGCTTCTTGAAGATGGTGTCCATATAGAGCCTCCTATAGAAGTGGTGTTTGATAACTGAGAGGATATCCCAGTGCTCAGTGTAGGAATATCTAAATCTCGTATGGTCAGCCTAAGTTGACTGGGTCCTGGTGTAGGGGAATCCCATCCTGAGGCTGATGTTGGTGCATAGTCAGTCCTGAAAAAATATTGTAAATAAGTAATACTTTAATTTATACATGAATATAGTTAAATAGAGTCTTCTATGAATATAAACATCATAAAAGAATGCAAATTAAGCACTGATACAAACAATTTGGGTTAGGCATGTAAAATTTTCCAAATAACTAGCCTGACTGGCTTATGAACAAGAGCTGTCGGTAGGACAGCAACGCTTGACTATTCTTAGTGCTCGATAGTTAAAAAAAAATGCTTGATACAGTTACCACCTCCTGTTTACAGGTTGGGGTCATGATGGTGAACAAGTGTGCAAAGTTTCAAAGCCATATGTCAATGGACTTTGAAAATATTTGAACTATTACAAAAACTTTAACGTAAATTCTAAGTCGAAAAAGGGGCATAATTCTGTCAAAATGCTTGATACAGTTACCTCCTCCTGTTTACAGGTTGGGGGTAATGATGGTGAACAAGTGTGCAAAGTTTCAAAGCCATATGTCAATGGACTTTGAAAATATTTGAACTATTACAAAAACTTTAACATAAGTGGTTACGCCGACGCTCGGGTGACTACAATAGCTCTTCTTATTCTTATCGAATAGTCGAGCTAAAAATAAGCAATAAATCACCTTAGTTTCTTTCTCCAAAATGAAATTACTAAATTTCAAATGAAACATTCTTTCTCCATAATGAAATTACTAAATTTCAAATGGAACATATAATTTATCCTCAATTCAGGGAACAGGATTTCAAAATAACTGTATAAGTCATTCTTCTTAATTTTACTTTCCACTTTCAAAGTTTTGTGCTTGTAAAATCTATATCAGACTTATAGATATTGCCAAATACAGTCAGGACTCAATACATCGGAATCCATTATACTGACAAATTCAAATAACGACAGTGAATTAGTGGGAACCAATTTTTTTTCAACGTTATTATAATCCTTTATAACGGAAAATTCGTATTCCGACTCCGACATAATAAAATTGGAAACCAAACGTGTTATTTTCTATACAATCATTTCCCGTTAAACTGACACTTGGTCAGTCAAGCGAGCGTATCGCAGAGCCGTGAACAAAAGCCGCAAGGTGTTATAAGAGGTATTGTAGCTTAGTCAGTTGATTGTTACACCTTATTACAATACCAACGTGTTGTTGTCAGCTGAATTTGCCAACTTGTGACTTTTTTATTAAAATAAATGCAGAACCTCAAGCTTAACATCAACGGACTATTTAACTTTTGAACAAAAGAACTAAATCATTTCATATAAAGAAAGTCATATCATTGTGCTTTTTATTATTAAAAGTTTTATCATTTTCATATGGCATATCAACCTTTAACTATTTTAGTTGTTATTATTTTAATAAAGTTGTTGTTTTATGTGTATAATATTAGTGAACACATAAACACAAAAATTTATTTCATTACAGATCTTAATTATAGATCTAAATAAATAATGTTCAGATACCAGTGAATAAGCATATCATTACATGATGAATGATGAAATTCAATATACTGACAAAGTCGATATACTGACATATCTTATGGGAACCAACAGTGTCGTTGTAATGAGTCATGACTGTACTAGCTCAAATGACTGGTGTTTTTTTTTGTCCCAAATTGTTTGACTGTTAATATCATAAAGTAGAAATGACAAAGGTATATCTGGCAAAATCCTGTAAATATAACCTGAATAGACAGGTTTACTTGATCTTCAGAAATTCAAATTTGCACATTTTTGTCAAAAATCAACTTTCACATTTCTTTGCCGCCAAATGTCCTGTTTTATTATTTGATATTTCTGGGCTGAAAAAGATTCCTACACCAATACTTATATTTATTTCAGTCTTCATGGAAGACAATCGCTTGTTTGTTTGATGTAGGTTTTACGTCACACCGACACAATTGGCGACGTTCCAGCTTTACTGGTGGAGGAAGACCTCAGGGGCCCCTTCTTGCATTTTTTCAGGCACCAACAGGCACCTGAGTAGAACCACCGACTGCCCGTATGCTAGCTGGATAGCTTCCTAACATAAAAGATTCCAAAGTCCCTATCGGGATTCGAACCCACAGCGGTGAGGGGCAAGTGGTTTGAAGTCAACATTCTTAACCACTCGGCCACGGACGCCCCCAAAGACAATTGTAATGGCATTTTTGATACATCTTACATATATCAAATACAGCTGCAGCTTAAACACAACACAGTTCAAACAGGACAAATATGAACTGTAAACTAATTATTACTGCCAAAAAGCAAAAGCACTTAAATTGGAAAACTCTGCAAAAAATAATAAAGAAATATACTCAAATTAAACTGAATATCAATTTTTCGTCAGGTTCTGAGTGGAAAGCATTGCAATGCTTTTCATTTTTGTGTCATTTTGCACAATAATTATTAGTATTCTGGAACTAGAACTCCGCGAGTCGGATGTGTCGCCTTGTTAACAATATAGTTAAGGAGAAATGGCCACAACAAAAATGAAATTTGAAAATTAACAAAGGGCAATAACTCAAAAAATAAGAAATGCAGAGCAGCAGTTTCTGTGCACTGCACTTCTTATCAATAAGATCTATCATCCTATTAAGTTTCAAGTCTAAAGCTTTTATACTTTAGGAGAAATGGCCTGGACAAAAATAAAGTATGTAAATTAACAAAGGGCAATAACTCAAAAAATAAAAAATGCAGAGTACCAGTTCTTACGCACTGCACTTCTTCTTAATGAGATCTATCATCCTATGAAGTTTCATGTCCATAGCTTTTATACTTTAGGAGAAATGGCCCTGACAAAAATAAAGTATGAAAATTAACAAAGGGCAATAACTCAAAAAATAAGAAATGCAGAGTACCAGTTCTTGTGCACTGCACTTTTTCTTAATAAGATCTATCATCCTATGAAGTTTCAAATGCATAGCTTTTATACTTTAGGTGAAATGGCCCGGACAAAAATAAAGTATGAAAATTAACAAAGGGCAATAACTCAAAAAATAAGAAGTTATAATGACTGACTTATGCTCCAGACAAGCTTTAGGGGACGCCGACAACGACGTCGACACCGCTGACAAAAGTAACCCCTATATCAAGGCGACACAAAAAACGGGTTGAGCGAAGGAGCTGAAAATCTACACAAAATCTGCAGACCTACAAATCTCGGAAAAAAATTAATTCCCGTCATGTTAAAAGACCTCAGTGGAGTCCTTTTAACAGGATACATTTGGTGCATCCTAGTTGTATATGTAAGTAATTTTTTCAGCTTTATACAATAACGACTATTCACCTGAGTCCTGCATACGGATGCATAGACGGAATATCCTCTGTACGATATGTCCTCGTAATCGGAGCAAACCCTGGAAAGTATGGATCACCTGCTGTCAGAACCCTGCTTTCCCAGCTATCTATGCTAGAGTCTTCCCTCCTTGGAGGAGGAGGTTGACTATTTCTACTGTCAGATAATGGAGAGTTTCCAGGGGAGACCACTATAACATCACTATCATTGCCATCATTCCTGATTCCTAAAAATAAACCCAATTATAAATTTCTATGTCTCACATTTAAAATGTTAAATATGTGTCTGTATGTATAAACAGGAAGGGACTTGTCAATAATTTAAATATCTAAAAGAAACATCTAGGAATGTAGAAATTAAACCTACTGACATTTATGATATTTGATTAGGTTGCATATTTATAAGAAATAAAAATTTTGTACTCGTGTGGCTAGTCTTTTGTTCTCCCTAGTGTCCTTTTAGCTATGTAACAAACTTTGGCTTATTCCTTCCAAAGTTAATAATTAGACAAGGTTTTTACAAAGTCACTTTCACACACTTTGACATTTGACCCAATGACCTCAAAAGTCCAAAGGGGTCATACATTGTGTTATGTTCCTACCAAGTCGCATAAACCATGGCTTATTCCTTCTAAAGTTATAGATTGCATGGGCAAGGATTTTACATTATCATGTGCCACTGTACCCTTGACCTTTGACCTCAAATCAATAGGTGTCAAATCGGATCTTCAAAGTCACATGAAGCACATGCTATTCTTTTTCAAGTTATTGATCTGACAATGATTTTACACAAAGTATCACTTTGATTATGAAGCCTTTTTACCAAATGACAAATTAACCAAGTTTTTCTCAAGGTATTGAATCAAAAAGAATAACAGGCTATACAGAAAACCCCAGAAGTTTACTCCCAAATGAGGTCATCTAAAAATAAATAAAAGTATATACATATGTACCTGCTCTATGGTCTGAGTCAGATTCTGAATCATGATGAGGCTCGTCACACTGTGCATAAGAACTGTGTCGATCATATGCTGCCATGTGATAAGGTGATTTTGCAAACATCAAAAATTCTTGCATAAACTTTCGAGTGTGGCGGCCAACATAAGGAAAAACATGCTGGTAAAACTCTTCACTATCAATTGGAAATCTTTTTACAAGTCCCATAATAAGGTCAAGTACAAATGCCACTTGCTCACCATGCCCTTGAAGAAGGGCGTTCAATTCTCTGTTAACCCATGGTACAAGGCGATGAGTTTGTGCCGGATTTTCACGGAAAAATGATGGGGATGTTTCTCTAACACGTCGTCTTGTGTTTGTTGGTGGTGAATTCAGCTTAAGACGCTGTAAATAAACACTACGTCTAAAATCAGAGTTAGCTGGTTGACGTAGGCGTCTATAATTAGGAATTGGTAAAGATCTTGATGGACGCTGGAGCAGACGGCTTTCAATTTCTCTGTTGATGCGATCTGCCAATGTGGTATAACGATGATCTGTCACAGTTGTCCTGTATAACAAAGAATATAAAAGGGTTCAACAATATTATAACCTTTTTCAATAATAACGAATACATTTTATGTCAACTTTTTTCATTTTTTGTTATTCAAAGATAGTAACATTGATTATGTCCCCCATCCCTTTCCCTTTCAAAGAAGCAAATGTGTATAGCTTAGAATATTATGGTCACGCTTTTGTTTAATCAGTAATTAATTAGAAACTCCTACAGTATATAAATTTCAGTGACATTGCAATAACGAAAATTTTCTCAAATATGCAATGAAATCAAAAGACCTTAATGAGCTTTTTCATTACATTTGTATTTTGTTATCTTTTTACAATTCCTAAAAAAAACTCACTTGCCAAATAGCTTAACCATTTTGCTTCTATTCAATTTTGGTAATATGCACAGTTATACTGATTAAGTATTTTGTATGGAAGTTAAAATATAACTTAGTTTACATTTTGCTTCGCTTTTTGACAAATTACTTCCTATTCAGCACTATTTTCTTCACATGATAAGAATCTCACCTTCTTAATCCATAATTACACTATTATAAATTACATATTCTACAGAATGAAAAATTTATTCCTTTCTTAGACCAAATACAAGACTCATGCATCAAATTATTGAATACAAACAAGAAAGATGACTAAACAATCAGTAATCTATTACAGTGAAAATATTTTCTTATATATGTATAGATTGTAGATTCTAAATATAGGCCTCATCCAACGTCATTATGAAAATGGTTGAGACTGTCTTATAATCAACAAGTCTGTTGTTCAATCCTTTTTTATATGTCTGTTTTATCAAACTGTTTGTCTCAAAACCTATTAATCTAGACAAACCATCAACTTGCCTTGACACTTTCATGTTGCTAAAAGGTTAAAATACCTATAATTTATTTACTGTATGTTAATATAAATTATATGAAGTTTACCTGTAGCTAAATCGCATAGTTCCTGGTCTAGCTAGTTCTTGGAGTAGGTTTCTATCCTCGGGTCTCGGAATATGATACTGATCATAATCATCATAAGATCTCACATTGTGTACAATACTTTTAAATGATTGCTTGCATAGCGGGCATTCAGCTTTAACTTTTGACCACTCAACTAAACACACAAAGCAAAACTGATGAAAACAGCTATCTGTAAAGGATTTATTTTCCAAAGGACCCAAACATATTGCACAGTTTGGCTCTGGTGATGAAGACTTTGGTCTAGGAGGTGTAGAATTAGTTGCACCTCCTTCTGAATTCTGATTGGAATTGTTGCTTTCATTTGATACAGTTGAAGATCCCAAACGTAAATGTCCATGAAAGATGGTTGTATTTCTACTAATTGCTGTCGACAAAGATGTAGAACTAACACTAGTGGAAGATCTGGGTAATGAGGTAGATGTCCCATGTCCAATACCTGAGCTCGCTGTTACTTGTGAACTGCTTGAATCGTGTCTTAGCGAGGAAGAGGCTTGTGACGGCCTACTACTAGTATAACTTCGTGAATAATTTTCTTCTTCGTCTTCGTCTAATTGAAGTCTTTTCTTTCTTTTACTTGCGCTATTTTTCTTTTTTCTTTTATCCATATCTATAACAAATACAAATTTATATGAAAAAAAATATCAACAGCAAGACTATGCACTAAACTAAATGACCTACAATCAAAACCTTTTAAGAAATGTTTTACATTTCAATTGGTTGTACACATAAAACTTGAAAGCAAAATTTTTTATCTACAAGTAATACATAAAAAATTGATTATAATAGCATTTTTAAGAGACATAATATTACATTCTATTAAGAGTATTAAGCGGGACTTAATTTTCTTTTTTTTTTGTAAAAAAATTAATATTGATCATGATCATAAAAACGTGTCATTTTGCAGGGAAATATAGGTTCTTTACACCACATATGCCAAAACATGCGTTGAATCCAGTTGATAAAATAATACAGCTTTGAGTCCCGAAATCCAGCTTAAGTTCCAGTTTTGGCCCAATTGACATTAGTCACATTTTTTAGTTATATTGGCATCTTCTTTTATATCAAAACTGAATTCAAAATATTTACGTAAATTTATAATGAATTACAATCTGCTTGTAACATGGTAAGTCCGAACAGGGCCATGGGATGTAGCACTCTTAGATAACATGCATGACATGTATAAGTTAAATTGAAATCACATAAAAACAATGTTGCATCTAGAATTTCAAAATTATGGAGGATTGTCCCCCACTCAACTGAAAAATGTGCAGGATTTGAAAAAAATGTGGGGGAAATACATTTACCTTACAATATGACGTACCGAAAATAATTCATTTATTTTACATTGAAGCATTTTTGACAGCTATCGTCAGCTCAACAACGGAAATAAAACAAGAGGGCCATGATGGCCCTAGATCGCTCACCTGAATTATCAAACTCATCCAAACAATTACCTAGACAAGCATTCTGACCAAGTCTCATGACAGGTGAGTCAAAAATGTGACCACTACAGTGTTAACAAGGATTATCCATATTTGAGCAGTGCGACCTAGTTTTTTACCCAGGTGACACATATTCAAACTTGACCTAGAAATCATCAAAACAAACTTTCAGACCAATTTCCAGGATACTTGGATCAAAACAGTAGCAACTAGAGTGTTAACAAGATTTTTCTATTTTTAGCTCCGGTGACCTAGTTTCACATGCGATTTCGAACTCATCCAAGCAATTACCTAGACAAACATCCTGACCAAGTTTGATGATAATTGAGTCGAAAATGTGGACCACTAGAATGTTAACAAGGTTTTTCCATATTTGGGCGGTGTGACCTAGTTTTTCATTCCAAGATGACCCATGTTCGATCTTGACTTAGAAATCATCAAAACAAACTTCAGACCAATTAACAGAATATTTGGATCACAACAGTAGCCACTAGAGTGTTAACAAGATTTTTTCTATTTTTAGCTCCTGTGACCTAGTTTTTCATCCGAAATGTCCCATGTTCGATTTATTCCCAGCAATGACCTAGACAAGTTCCTGACCAAGTTTGATGACAATTGAGTCAAAATTGTGACACTAGAGTGTTAACAAGGTTTTTCTATTTTTAGCTCCTGTGACCTAGTTTTTCATCCGAGATGACCCAATGTTCGAACTCATCCGAGCTATCACCTAGACAAGCATCTTGATCAAGTTTGATGATGATTGATGCAAAAATGTGACCGCTAAAGTGTTAACAAGGTTTTCTATTTTTAGCTCTGGTGACCTATTTTTTCATTCGAGATGACCCATGTTCGAACTCATCCAAGCTATCAACTAGATAAGCATCCTGACCAAGTTTGATGATGATTGATGCAAAAAATGTGACCACTAGAGTGTTCACAAGGTTTTTCTATTTATAGCTCCGGTGACCTAGTTTTTCATCCGAGATGACCCATATTCGAACTCATCCGAGCTATTATCTAAACAAGCATCCTGACAAAGTTTGATGATGATTGGGTCAAAAATGTGACCACTAGAGTGTTCACAAGGTTTTTCTATTTTTAGCTCCTGTGACCTAGTTTTTCATCAGAGATGACCCATGGTTCGAACTCATCCAAGCAATTGACTAGACAAGCATTTTGCCCAAATTTGATGATGTTTTGGTTTAAAAAGGGTGCCCCGGAAAGTGTTAAAAAGGTTTTTTTCTTTTTAAAGCTCCTTTTGACCTTTTTTTTCCCCGTTTGCCCTTTCCCAAAACCTACCCAAAGCTTCCCCTGAAAAAACCCCTGCCCTTTTTGATTGTTTTGGTTAAAAAAGGGGCCTCAGGTGTTTCAAAGGGGTTTTTTTATTTTTAGGCTTTTTGTGACCTGGGTTTTTCATCCGGATGCCCTTTTTCAAACTACCCGACTATAAAACTGTTAAGCATCCTGCCCTTTTTGGTTGATTGGGGGAAAAACCCCGGGGCCGCTAGATTTTCCAAAAAATTGTGGGGGGAAACGGGGGACATTCACCGACCCAAAAAGCTCCCCCTGAGAAAGCTCGGGGTGAGCAAAAAATAAATTTTGAGGGAATCTACTTTCACACCCAGTGCCCAGTGGGTGCTAAAAGAATTTTGTTTTGTTTTTTAGTCATTACCGAGTAAAAACCGGGGGTTAAAGCCTTAAAGTTAAGATGGAGAAAACCTTGTTATTTAAAAGGATTGTCAGATGGCGTTTGGGCCGCTTGACTCAAAAAAAAGTGCGTCTGCAAAAAATATCCCAAAAGGGCCAATCGTCTGGCTGATCCCAACATGTTAAAACCCAAAAAAATTTAAGGCCCCCATCCAAAAAAAACCCAACTGTGCGTTTCCCGGATCACTGGCCCAGCCCAACCCTGCCCCGGAAAGTTGACCCAAGTTTTTTGCTGTTCGTTTTAAAAACCCTTTTTTAAAAGTGGAAACTGATAGCGAACAGCATGGATCCTTAAATCGACTGCGGGGGAATTGCACAGGTTTTCGGGGACCCATGCTGGATTGAAAAACCACTATGTTATTTTTTGTCGTGGGTTGCTCAATATTTTATTAAAAATTAAAAATAAAAAAAACACAGCCCATGAGTTATTTTTTTAATTGATTTCCCAAATTTGGTTTCTCTTTGTTCCTCAGGAAAAATGTGATGTTGTGTAACAACGATTTTTTGTTTTTACAGGTACATGGGGTTATGTTTTTTACTTTTAAAATTTAAAAAATAAAAAATAAAAAAATTGGGGGTCTTTTTTTAAACATTTTTTTAAAATGTTCATTTTAAAAGAAATTTTTCTTGTTGGGGGGTCTTTTGATTTTCTGAGCATAAACATACTTCTAAATTATTTTATATATTTTTTATATATATCATTTTTTTAAAAACAGTTGACTTCGGTTTCCCCCGAAACCCAAAAGGGATTTTCTTTTTTACTTCGCGAGAACGGAATTTTCGAGAAAAGTGTCTGCCGCCATTCCCGTTGCCCATTCGAATTTGAAATTTAATGTCCCTACTGAATTTGCAAAGAAGTAGGTTTTGGGGATTGTTGACAGCAGCAATGCCCCGGGGTTTTTTTTCCCCTTTTCCGCCCTTTCCCTTCCTTTAAAACACTAACACATTTCTTCCCCATTTTTCAATTTTGAAGTTTTTTGGGTTTATCGGCCGAAAACAAAAATTTTCCTTTTCAAAACCGGTAGTTAAATTGACAAAAAATTAAATTTTAAACAAATGTCATTTCCTTTATCTAGGCTGTTATTTGAAAAAGCCTGCCCAGCCCTTTAACGAGTAACTTTCAAAAAAAAATTGAAAGATGTCGGCAGGAAACTTAATTCCCCTTAAAATTAAATTTAATTTTAAAAATTGTTATCTAACTGTTTAAACCAAAAACCCACTAAAACCGGGTTTAAAATCCATTTTTTTAATAATACATGATGCCCGGAAATTTAAAAATTTTACTATAAAACGTGTGAATCAGGGGTTGAAACGTCCCCTTGTTTTCGCCGCCCTTTTTGTTTCATTTGGGGTTTTACCCTTTCGACTTATTAAAATAAAAATTGTTTGATTTAATTGCCGGGCCAAATTTTCTTTTCGAAAAACAGGGTTGGGGAAAGAAAAAAATTTTTTGCCCCAAACGGAGTTAAAATCCCAAAGTTAAAGAAGGAAATTTTGACGGGACTTTTAGAAACCTTTCGACTAACCGGTTTTTTTATTTTAAAGGGGGTTTTTTTACTTTTGGAGTACGGTATATAAAATTTTTATTTTTGCCCAATTTAAAAAAACTTTAACGTTTGAGAAAAAATCCTCAGGGTTCTGCTTTTTAAAAATTTGGGGAAAGGGTTCTTTTTTTAATTATTTTTTGGTCGGGATGTTTTTTGAAAAAAATTTTTAAAAAAAGTGTCAAAAAAGGGCCGACTTTTGCTTAAAGATGAAATCATTTCTCTACCCTTTAAAAGGGACATTCTGGTAAAATTTTTTTTCTTGTTTTAAATCAAAAAGAGTTTTCTGCGCCCTTGGGTTTTGCCTTTTTTTTCCATGTTTTTTGGAAAATAAACCCCGTGTTTTAAACCCTAAATCTGCTAAAAATTTCAAGGTTTTAAAAACTTGATTTTTGGGAATATCTGTAACAAAGAAATTTTGGGGTTTGTCTTTATTTTAAAAAATTTTTTAATGTTTAAAAATTCTTTTTAATTTATTTAATTTCTAAATGGTTTAAAGGACCCCTTCCCCAGTTTGGTTTTTAGTGAAATTGTAATGGCTTTTGGTTTTCAAAACAATCCCCTTTTCTTTGGGAAAATTTAAAACTGAAAGTTTCATACAATGACAATATTGAAAAACTGCATGACTTTCAACCATTTTGGTCTGGGTCAGAATCAAGAGAATGTTTGTAAACTAAAATAATTCTAATCTATCACAAATTGTTATTTATTTCTTGTTTGAATGCTGCTCAAAGATAAAATAATCTCTCATACATAAGAAACCAAATATAATCATTACCTAATGCTGTTTCACCTACGTCACTGTGATATTCATAGGTCTGACATTACAGCTGTTTTTCTAGTTTTTCCACTTCTTGTACGTTTTGATTTACCAAAACACAGAAGTGAAAAAGAAAAACAACATTTATTTAATGTGCTTAAAATAAAGGGTTAAAATAGT